CTCCAAGAAGTCCCGGAGGCCGGGAAAAAGGTGCATGGGGGTGGTTGAAGTAGTAGAGCTAGAATATTATTGGTGGGCGGAGCAAGTCCAGGTGGGCGGAGTTACCCAGGAAAATTCATAACTTGGTTCCAAGAAGTCCTGGAGAACGGGAAAAAAGTGGATATAGGTCAGCAAAGAAAGAGAAGTTAACTGCTACGGGTGGGTGGAGCGTGCGCCAATGTGGGCGGAGTTTGCGCCGAAATTGTAATTCGGCTCCAAGAAGTCCCGGAGGCAGGGAAAAAGGTGGATGGAGGTGGGTGGAGGAGTGGAGGCCAGCTGTCACCGGTGGGCGGGGCTTGACCAAAGTGGGCGGAGTTTGCGACGAAAATTCATAACTCGGCTCCAAGAAGGAAGCAGTCCGGAGACCGGGAAAAAGAGGATAATGGTTGACGAAGAAAAAGAGGTTGAAAGCCGTCGATGATGGAGCGGATAGAATTTAGCTGAGAATTCAGATATTCGTGGTGTATCAAGCCAAATTTGAAAATTTTCGTCGCACCATCAAAATTCGCCGCAGATCTGTGTTGCGCGCGCAATGCGTGCGGCGCCAACTGGTATTTAATGCTCCTAGTGTCACTACAATGTGCATTTTAAAAAATTATATAACCCATAACTTTCATTTATTCTGCTTTTCTATTGTGACTGTTGTCAATTTGTAGCCATCTATCCTTGTCACCACTGTGCAACAGTTAAATAAATAAACAAATACAATAAGTGTAATGCACTAGAAAACGGCGATACCGTTACTTGATCCTGAATTTGAGCAAGCGTCAACTGTGTGTCAGGAATTATCGTCTCCAAAAATGGAACAATTGGTTTAGATACCTGAAAAGTGCATATTTTTCCAAACTTGGTTCAGTTCCAGAGCAGTACAAACAACAAATAAAAAATGGTGGAAGGCATGCCCTATGCTCAAACTGGTTTGGTTCTTGTGCACGAAATGAAGCGTTGTCATGAAGTGAGCCGACACTAGGAAAAAAGGAAAAGAATCCTCGAAAAAGCTAAATCAAGGAACTTGCCCATTTTTGTGCTACGGCTATGAGAGACCGAGTAAAGGAGTAGAGAAGACAGACGAGACAGCATAGTGGATGGAGAGAACGCAGAACAGCAGCATGATAAGGACGAGGAAAAAATGGAGCGTTGCCAGCCTCAGAGCCTACGCCCATGTTGCGCAGTTTATAATCGCGAGAGCGGGACATCTATGACCTTGTGAGCAGCAGCCAATCCTGGTAAGAAAAAAGATTCATCCAGCCGAATATTTCTGGGTTGTACCTTTACGGTAAGCACATGGTTTGTGGAAGCAACATGGTTTGTGATGAATAAGAGGGAAGGTATATTTCTTGCTCGGATATACTGTTAACGAATATACATATCGCACTACGCGTCCTGTGACAACCCGGATACAGAAATAAATAGAAGGAAATAACCACCTCTCAGACGCTTGCTAAGCACTCTCTGTGTTGCCAAGAATCCCCTCAAAGTTTGGGTGAAACAAGCCAGCGTGCCCTCGACTGAGTTATGTCACTAAAAAATCAACAACTTTCCAAGACGTCCTGGAAAAAAGGAGAAAAGTGAATGAAAACTAGTGAAGCAGGAAAGTCAAATTATTTATAGCGGGAGAGGAACGCGATGTGATGAGTGGAACCAAAATCCAAAGTTTGTAACAAGGCTCTGAGATAGCCTGAAGGCCAGAAGAATGTGGATAAGGCTGGCGAGGGAGGAGGGGTCAAACATTAGAAATGGGGTGCATGTGTCCTTAGCAGCACCACAGGTTCGCCCGTTTCCATACCCCTAGCGTCTTACCGTCATCAAATCCTGGTCCTACTTCAGTGGGGCGTTGAGACGTTTAATCGGGCGGTCGCAAATTCCTCCAGGCTTCAAAGAAGGCAACTTCGCCGAATTTTTCCACAGTGAAACTCATCTAGCAACCTTATGAAAAGATCCATGGAAAAAAAACGACAGCGCCAAAATTCTTGCAAAGCCGTGTATGACATTTTCCAAACTTCCCAAGTTCCAACAGTCAGCCTCCCACCAACAAACTCGAGTCTCCATTCAAAAGTGCAGCGGGAAAACCTTGATGAAAAAAAAAAAAAAACTCTTTACCACGAATTTCCGTTACCGTACCTCTAAGTCCGTGAATCCGAGATCTTCCAAGTCTTTCAAGCATTTCTGCAAATGAACTTCACCCGCGGTAATCATTGCCAGTTCTCCATTATCAAGCTCAAGCACCTTAAATCGCACATTTCTTAGCGGCTAAAATGTCTCAACAACTCAAAAACTCTTACTCGAAGACTTGGATCCAGCACCGAAAGAACTTTTAAATCTTCTTTCAACCGGTCCATATCGTCCAGATTTGCCGTGTTTACCGATACCCTGAACTAACGGTTCTCCTTGCTTCAATCCAACATCCAAACCTTCGCTAACGGCTTCCGAGCACAGAGTGGAGTTCTATAACAGCTTTGCTAGAATATACCGTTGATGATCATATAATATGGGCCAGATGAGTCTATCAGCATAGCACTAAAGTTTTAGAATTGCTTTGGACTGCTTACGACTTCACGCCATGTGCTTATGAATTGCGTCCATGCCCACATCAGGCATCTGCGCACTTCCAACTAACGAATCTTCGCTATCTGCGTCTCACTTATCCCCACATTCTCTCGCCTCGAAGTCTATGCTCTCCCCTCGATGCTCAGTGGTTTATGGACTTCTTTCTCTGACTCGTGAACTTGTCCAACTCTCGAAGAAATGAGGTCCATTTTTCAGGTTTTCTTTTCTGACGGGACAACTAGCACTTACTACCTCACATATAGTTCCCATTACCCCACTTCTGCTGAAGCGAAATACACTTTTAACGAGGGAATTCGTGCGACAAATGGTTTCAGGGAACTCACTTGCAATTCAGGCATCAAAGGAAGTCACAGAAGTACTTCCAAACATAAGAATTTTTTTTGAAAATGCAATAATACAATAAGTACACTTTTCGTAGTGAATAAGAATTCATACTAGGAATGGCTTCGGCCACTACCTACCTGTACGAGACCCTGAGCATCAATGGCACAGATCACTCCTGCTGTAGCTTTCTCCAAAGGAATTACGTCTCGACCTCGTAACGCCCACACACTCTCTACAGTGGCCTTCGGTGCCTCGGAACCGTCTTTCCTGGCCTTGAAGAAAAGATTTACTAGCGATTGAGCTTTCTTGAAAACTGCCAAATATACCTTTCGTCCTAGCACGTACAAAATCGCACCCGCAGTGATCTGTCCGCTGAAAATTCGACACACCGCTAATTTACGATCCTCAAATCGAACAAATTTCACAACAAGTGCCACAGTCGGTCCTAAAGGGCTGTTCATTTCCACTTTACAAATTTGAAGTGGTGAGGATTGCATTACCTGTAGGAGAGCAGTCCTTTATCGCTTGAGCAAGCGGGTGATTCTCCTTGTTTCCAACTAGATACTGCATCCTGTAACGAACTCATCTCAATGTCCCAAGCCCTAGATAAAAACCTACCAACGACACAAATAATTTCGATAACCTCACCGATGATTATTTCTGAAAGCAGTTCGCGCAGAGGGCGCACGAG